TGAGAAAAACTGGATAAATTGTGTATACTGCACTAAAACAGATGAGGGAGTGAATAATTTAAAAGCGATGTATGATAGGGTATTATGGTTATCACAAGAGTCCACAATTAAGGTTGCATAGTGGAATTTACTTGGGGTGGCGGGAGGGGTGTGGGGGGATTGTGTCCCAGGGAGGGAGTGTTTCTCTTACTTTTGAAAGAGAGGAGCAAACTAGTGGGGAGGGGGCTGGGCGGGGAGAAAGTGAGGCAATGAGTGAATGGAAATCCAAAATCTCTGTAGATGCTCATTGAAATTATTGAAAAAAAAAATAAAGCTTAAGAAAAAAAAATAATTCTCTTGTAGAACTGCAAACTTTCAGGGGTCAATTTGATGATATTTTTCAAAAGTTTTTTAAAAAAATGAGATTCTTTCATTGTCATTGAGTCACAATTGACTCATAGCTGATCCTTCAGTGGGTTTTGGGAGGTTGTAAATCACACGGGATTGGTCAGCTCTTTCTCCTAAGGAGCTGATGGTGGATTTGAACCACTAGAGAGACACTGCCTTTGGGTTAGCAACATTATACCACCAGAGCCTCCTGTTAGGTAATTATTCTATATTTTGTGATTTTATGTAATCTTTGTGATCTTATCCTGTATGATGGTGGCATAGTCCTCAAGAGCTGCACTGAGCAGTCTGAAAACCCACTGACGGGTCACTTATGAGCCAACTTGATGGTAATAGGGTTTTGTTTTGTTGGGTTTTTTTAGATGATTTAATGGAGGTAGTTATGTGAAAGAGGCAGGATTAGGTTGTATCTTTAGTAAAACTTCTTTTTAACAATATGAAAGAGATTCAACAGGCAAGGAGACAAAGGAGATGTGACTGCCACCAAGAATGAAGACCCAGGATTCCCACGCTGAGGACCTTCTATACTCATGAGAAAATTCATGTCAAGACACATGTAGTTCTCCAGGGAACACTGGGCCTACAGACACTGAAAGGACACTCCCCAAAGCTGACATCCTACAGAAAGCCTTCTCCTAGGGCTAACACTCTGGATTTGGACAATGACTAAGGATGACAGAAGAACTGACCCCTTCAAGTTATGGTACTGGAAACGATTCTTGAACATCTTTATTGAAGACTTTAGCCCTTGACATTCTGCAGCAGATGCTTCAGGCCCTCCTCAGCTTCAGCAAGCAAGATTGTGTCATGACTATAATGCTAGTTGTTGATGAGTCTTCCTTCAATTCTGATGCCACTTTCTTACTCTTAAAGACCAGCCTCCTGTATGATGTTCCACCCATAGACTGAAAAGGTAAGAAGACAGGATGTATCCCTGTCACACTCCTTTCCTGATTTTGAACCATGTAGCGTTTCTTTGCTCTGTTCTATTCTCCCAGTCCAAGTACAGGTTTTGCATAAGCTGTACAGATAGATTTTCTGGGAATCTGGGTGTTTTTATATTTTCATTTTCATTACAAATTTATGAATTTTCTTTAGGTTGGTATTTTAACACTTGTAAAAATAGTGCTATGGGTTAATAGAAATAACAAAGAACCAAAGAGTAAAAATGTAAGCTATGTAAATTCTCAACCAAAATCCAAAAGGGTCTAATGTATTCATTCAGTAGCCAACCAAAAGCCCAAGAAAGACAAGACATACATATGATAACTGAAAAACAACTGTCAATTTTCAGTTATCAAAATTGTTGATTTTGTAGCAGCATGATATATGGAGAGGAGATTGAAGTTATTAAGACTTACAGCTTGCTCGGCTCCATAGTCACCATTCCTAACACCAGCAGTCAGGAAATCACAAGATAAATTGCACTGGAAAAATCTACTGTCAGAGACCTCTCCAGAGTGCTGACAAGGAACAATGTCAGTCTAGAAACTAAGAAGCGCCTAAACCAGGCTATAGTCTTCACAATTACTTGTTATGCTTCAGAGAACTGGACAATGACTAAAGATGACAGAAGAAGAATCAACTGTGGTGCTGGAGAAGAGTCTTGAACATACCATGGACTACCAAGAAAACAAAGAGGTCTGTCTTGGAGAGGGTGAAACCAAGCTGGCCAGGAGAGACCAGTCCTTGCAGGAGGACATCATAGTCAGAAGTGTAGAGGAAGCACAGGAGAGGAAGACCACGGATGAAATGGATTGATACAGTAACTGGGGCAATAGGGGTTGTTGTGTTGAAATTAGTGAAACTGGCTCAGGACAGGGCAGGGTTCAGAACTGCTGTACTTGGGTTAATGTACAGTCACAGGTGACTCGATGGCACATAACAACAACACCCTTTTCTCAGTAGGAAAAAAATGTTTTTGAATGTTATATAACATATATATAAAACAAGATAGACAACACAACTATGAGATATCATCTCACCCCAGGCAGAATAGCAAAATTTAACAGAACAGCAAGCAACAAATGCTAGCAAGGTTGTGGAGAAACTAGAACCCTTATTCACTGTTGATGGGAGTGTAAAATGGTGCAACCACTGTGGAAAGTGGTGTGCGCTTTCTCAAAAAGTTGCAAATAGAGATACCATTCGACCCAGAAATTCCACTACTGGAACTGACATCCAAGCAGATATATGCACACACATGTTTATCATGGCTTTGTTCACAATAGCAAGGAGTTGAAAAACCAAAGTGTCCATCAACAAACGAATGGATAGAGAAGTGGTGGTATAGTCACACAATGGAATACTACTCTGCAGTGAAAAACAAGGAACTCATGCAATATTATTCAAAATGG